ACACAGTATTGGCCAATGTTGTATGATTCGGCACTTCACTAGCTGCAAAAAACTAAAGTTGATGCGAGATCAGATCTGATTAAGATATTGTTGACATAGAGTTAAATACCATTCATTGATAACAACAGGTGAACAACTTTTAGCAAAACATATAAATGGCATGCAATAGACACCGGTGCTTGTTGAGATTGACAAAACATGAACAAAAACACTCGAGAAAGATTGAGTTTGAATCCAAAGAATAATTGTGAATGGTTCGTTGGTGGTGTTGAGTTCAAGGAGACTCGATATTTTGAAAAAAGAAGGATAAGGATTCGAAAATGAAGCATTTTGTCGTATTTTATATGATGATCTCGCTTTGATCGATATTTTTTAATTCAGCAATGTAACTCTAGGAAAATAACTCAGATAAAAAAATCTGACATTAAGTCTTATGCGATCATATGAAATCGTACAAAAAATCGTGGTCCCAGAAATCTTAAATAAATTTTTACTGTAAGATTCTTGTCAAATCGTACCGTCGCATAAGACTTTCTATAATCTTACAGTAAGATTTGATAGGACAACAAGGTCTGTCAAGAATCTTAGAGTAAGACTTGATGTAAGACTTCTGAGACCACGCTTTTTTTTACGATGTCTGTCTGGTCTTACAAGGTCATACAAGATCAGATGAACGATCATGCAAGATCTTATCATCTGTTTGTTTAACCTGGAAATACATAGTCTACTCTCAACCAGCTTGCTCTACTTATAGATATCTACTTGGATAATACTGAAGTATGTATTGTTATGAATCTTTTTCTATGTATTAGTATAATCAGAAAGAATTGATCAGTATTCAAAAAATATCGATACTGAAATTCATATATTTTTACCTGAAATCACTCTTCAAAATGGAACAAGTGTCACCTTAGTAACCTTTCACCTTCATCTAAGTCGTGCGAATAACGAGGGCGTAAATCGAAATAATGAATGTTGATCTGCGGTTGCGTCCGTAGCTTTATTTAATGTTCAATAGAATTACTTGAAAATTTCAACAGAAACAAATATTTCTACAGCTACTTCTCATGTGAAGATGTGGGTGTGAATATGACTGGGTGCGAGTAAAGAGAACATTAGCACCTACACATCCTACACGCACAAATGGACTGTAAATTGATATTTTTCAAAAATTAAATCGGTTTTGTCTTTTGACCGGTTAAATAGAATTAAAGAAAAACAATAATTTTTTCAAAATTTTTTTTCTCTTATATGTTATATTTATGTTATCAGCAAAAACAAATGGCATTCTTGGCCGTTTCTCTGTTTCAGATAATGAATTAACACGTAGGCAATCTTACAGTGATAATAAGTGTATCTAACTCTGTGAATGTGCAGAAAAGAAAATCTCAAAGTATTTTTTATACACTATGTCACTTCAATAGGACATTTCTCTATCCTTGGCTTTCTCCTGTATATTGACCTGGCATTCTAACAATAACTTCATCATTGATTGGAATAGACTAAAAACGAACGTTGTAAATTTCAACTATTTATTCCATAGAGAATAGTAATCGGAAATAACACTAACCATTCATTTATGGGAGACATGTCCACATTACGTTCAATTCCAAAAAATCATTTAAATTCATAAAAATCATATAGGCTCACTCATTCTTCGCTCCATCGTGGTACCAGTTAGACGCATTCTTTTACTGCTGTACTCCTTTCGTGCTTCTCCTTCCTTCCCTGTAGTGTTACAACAGAGGGTTAGTGCATGTACATGGATGTACATCAAACTTCCTCTCCCTCTTCGGTTCCAAGTCCGATCGGAACTACGGATACAATTTCAAATAGAAATTCATTTACACAGCTGGAATCGTTTGATTACAATCAGGTACGTATTGAGCAAGCTCAGCTTCAGTCTCAAAATCAACACCCGGTTCAAGCATATGCTCACTCAGGTCAACTAGTATCTATGTCAGGTGTCATTGAAAATGGACAATTTGTTCCAATACAATTGAACACAATTTCTCGATCAATGAGTAACAACTCGATTATTCATTCTCACCCACAGTACCAACAAACGAATCAAAACCAGCTGCACACTCCTCATACCATCACGTACCAATGCTCTTCGCCTCTTTATCAGCACAGCACATACTTACAGGCACCTTGTCATCTNTTCATGATTTATGACTTGAGGGAAAATGCAATACTAGCAACTAAATTTTTTTTTTTTATGATACTCATTGCTAACATTCTGTTCTCTTTATAATAGACAAGATATATGTGACCGAATATATTCAAGCAATGATCACCATTCATTACAACTATTCAATTTGGTCATCAACTACCATATATGGGGCTCTCGCGAAACTTTTCCAAAATGCTAAATCTCACTTGAATAACAGTTTCGAAATGTTCTCATAACCATAGAAAGATTAAAAAAAGGTTTTTATCGTTTTTTCTTGTAGTTAACTACCATTTTGTGGTATAATTAGTAGTCACAAAGTTGACAGAACAAGAAAGTCGTTTCTATGCTCCTTGTGGAGAATTACTTTGACTGTATTGTGTACTACATTTGAATCTTCCACAAACCTTTCTTCTTTCAAAATTATTTGACTTTGAAGAGAATCAATTGAAAATACTTAAGACAAATAGAAGAAATTCAGATTAGTTTCAATATCAACGAATATGCAAACAAATATCATTTGATATTTCATGCATGCCTTTTTCTTCTTTTCATGATGAATTTATTAGATATAGTTTTTCTTCTCAATTATATCGAGTAGATCTCGAAAAGAAATTCGAAAATCATCTACATTCTCATCACAAGGAAGTGTTGATGCTAAAAGATTCGCGACACAGTATTGGTCAATGTCGTGTGATTCGGTACTTCATTAGCTGCAAAAAACTAAAGTTGATGCGAGATCAGATCGGATTAAGATATTGTTGACATAGAGTTAAATACCATTCATTGATAACAACAGGTGAACAACTTTTAGCAAAACATATAAATGGCATGCAATAGACACTGGTGCTTGTTGCGATTGACAAAACATGAACAAAAACACCCGAGAAAGATTGAGGTTGAATCGAAAGAATAACTGTGAATGGTTGGTTGATGGTGTTGAGTTTAAGGAGACTCGATATTTTGAAAAAAGAAGGATAGGGGTTCGAAAATGAAGCATTTTGTCGTATTTCATATGATGATCTCGCTTTGATTGGTATTTGTTAATTCAGCAATGTAACTCTAGGAAAATAACCCAGGTCAAAAAATCTGACATTAAGTCTTGTGCGATCATATGAAATCGTACAAAAAATCGTGATGTCAGAAATCTTACAGTAAGATTTGATAGGACAACAAGATCTGTCAAGAATCTTAGAGTAAGACCTGATGTAAGACTTCTGAGACCACGACTTTTTGTACGGTGTCAGTCTGGTCTTACAAGGTCATACAAGATCAGATGAACAATCATGCAAGATCTTATCTTCTGTTTGTTTAACCTGGAAATACATAGTCTACTCTCCACCAGCTTGTTCTATTTATAGATATCTGCTTGGATAATACTGAAGTATGTGTTGTTATGAATCTTTTTCTATGTATTAGTATAATCAGAAAGAATCGATCACTATTCAAAAAATATCGATACTGAAATTCATATATTTTTACCTGAAATCACTCTTCAAAATGGAACAAGTGTCACCTTAGTAACCTTTCACCTTCATCTAAGTCGTGCGAATAACGAAGGCGTTATTTTCATCTGTTAGACGCTATTCGACTTCATATTAGCTTCCGAATAAATTTCTATGAGACTAAGAAAACTTGACAAGGATTCTGAATCATTGTCTGTTTGCAATGAGCATCATAAACATTTTATATAATTTTTCACTGGCAGAGAGACATATTTGAACAAATCGAAATAATGAATGTTGATCTGCGGTTGTGTCCGTAGCTTTATTTAATGTTCAATAGAATTATTTGAAAATTTCAAAAGAAACAAATATTTCTACAGCTGCTTCTCACGGAAAGGTGTGTGTGTGTGAATGTGGTTGGGTGCGAGTGAAGAGAACATTAGCACCTACACATTCTACATGCACAAATAGACTGCAAATTGATATTTTTCAAAAATTAAATCGGTTTCGTCTTTTGACCGGTTAAATAGAATTAAAGAAAAACAATATTTTTTTCTAAATTTTTTTCTCTTATATGTTATATTTATGTTATCAGCAAAACCAAATGGCATTCTTGGCCGTTTCTATGTTTCAGATAATGAACTAAAACGTAGGCGATCTTGCAGTGATAATAAGTGTATCTAACTCTGCGAATGTGCAGAAAGGAAAATCTCAAAGTATTTTTTATACACTATGTCACTTCAATAGGACATTTCTCTATCCTTGGCTTTCTCTTGTATATTGACCTAGCATTCTAACAATAACTTCATCATTGATCTGAATAGACTAAAAACGAACGTTGTAAATTTCAACTATTTATTCCATAGAAGATAGTAATCGGAAATAACATTAACTATTCATTTACCAGAGAGACATGTCCACATTATGCTCAATTCCAAAAAATCATGTAAATTCATAAAAATCATATAAGCTCACGAAAATCATTTTAAATCACAGAAGCTTTTAACCCTTTCAATCCCGTATGTCATCTCGTAGATGCCATGCATATCGAAATATAGAAATTTTGCGTTATGTCATCTTCCTACATGATACATATCATATGTGTGTTCAACGAAACGCGTGTATCCTTCTCAGTGAAAATATTTTTCTCACACTGAACTAGAGTAGCTAGAATTCGTGTACAGCTGATTATAAAGATGAGAACGCAAGAGAGAGAGAAATCTAGATTTTCTTCAACGTTGTATAGAATGAGAGAAAATGTCGGGATTGAAAGGGTTAATATGAACATTTATTTATTCTTTAAAAGAATGATTAAATATTTAATAATAAATCAAAAATTAAGAGTGAAAATTTTAATGAAATGATATAATGTCTTTTAACAATTATAATTCAATTTTGTCTTTATTATGAAAATGTACATCTGGAACTTTACTTTTTGGATAAGTTATATCAATAATGGGTAAATTATTTTTTTCACAATAATTAACATATTTTCCTAAAATTGATCTCCAATCTTCAATAGCAATTGTATTACCAAATTCATCTAAATATTCTAAAGTACCCCAAACAAAAAATAAAACTTCTGTTTCTCCATGATTTTCATCAATATACAATGTATGAACAGATCCAGGAGTTTCATGAATAACATCACCTGCTCGAGATAACCATTCAGGATGTTCTTTATAACCCCAAGCACCTTTAAAGGTATAACCATATACTTGATCATAATGACGATGTATACCTAACCTACTTCCAGGTCCACCTTTCANGTCGCACACTATTTTGCTTCTTTTGAAAACAAAAAGTACAAAATTAAAATAAGCTTTACTTTGAACATTGTAGTTCTTTTCACACTGCATCTCCTGGTATATTTTGTTTTTATAAAACAACTTATTAAGTGATGCAAAAATGAAATGGAAAAAGGCCGTTTTTTTTGTCCGAGGGAGACTGTTTCTTTTTTCATTTAAATTCTTCACAATGAAATATTTACTTTTAGTTATAATTATCATCTGAGAAATTCTATTAAAGTGAATGTATAGTTGTGAGTGAGTCTTAATTTAATAAGAGACCCATATCTTTTCACGAAGTTTAATTTTTTTTCGACTACAATAAAGAAAAAACTTGGTTTTTTCCTGCATTTTATCGACGAAATAGTATGTATGTCAGAACCTTATTGACATTTTCTCATACACATAGACAAGATCAACTAAAAGAAGAGAAAAGAAAAAGCAGCACTATCATATTTCAGGGAATCAAAAACGATATTGTCACATTCTTTTTTTAGCTTTTCATAACAATACTTTATCAGTTTTCAATGAATAAATACTTTTCAATACAATCAATAGTTTTTTTAAATATGATATATTTCGTTATTGCTCAAAACAAATATAGTGATCATAATTCACTAAAATTTCATGACATCAATGGTTCAATAATTGGTATTATTCGAAAATTTTATTTTTTAACTACATTATTAATAAATATTGTTTTCTTCTTTGTCTTTGAATTTATATCAAGTAAAATTGGTAGTTAAATCAACAGAAAAACAACGTATTATCTATTGTTCTAGTCCAGTTGAATTAAATAAGCAAAATAATGAATTAATAGCTTCAATTTATAATCCAATTTTAACTTCTACAGAATTTCAATTAAAAACTGAACAAGTTAATTCTACTACCATACGTATTCATATTATACCCAACGGTTATATTGGTGTTAGTCGCATTAATTGTCATTGGAGTACTAATATTACTTATCGTGAAACTGTTGATCTTTATATTGGAGGTATTCAGATAAAAAGAAACGGCGCACGTTTTGAATGAGAAATTTTAAGTAAAATATAAAAAAATTAAGCAAATATTTGTTCAAAATATTATCATTCACACGTTGGCTAAGTTCTATTCTTTATACTTAAAAAAAAATAAAGATCTGAGTATTCTTTTCTTTTCATCCATAGGATAAGACTTACGAGGGAACCGTTTCAAGTGATAAATCGCTTTTGAGTTCGAACTCTATGCGTAAGATAGACCCCATTGAAATATGAGAAACCCCACAATGACAAGTGCTCTTAGGCCTTTCTGCCAGAGATATAGCCGTTTTACCGGAATTTCAGCCTATAGGACGGTATACACCAAAAAATGGAAAGGTGGCTTTTCGAACTGAAACTTTGCCCACAGATAGGTCCATTTATAACTAGAATATCCTGAAAGTCACAGTGCAAAATATTGTTTCCTTCACGAGATTTTGGAATTCTAAAAATCACTCGTACCCAACAAAAGATGCAAAAATCTCCTGTTTTTTGGAAACTTAATATCTCGTAAAGGAAACAACATTTTGCACTGTAACTTTCAGGATATTCTAGTTATAAATGGACCTATCTGTGGACAAAGTTTCAGTTCGAAAAGCCACTTTTCCATTTTTTGGTGTAAACCGTCCTATAGGCTGAAATTCCGGTAAAACGGCTATATCTCTGGCAGAAAGGCCTAAGAGCACTTGTCATTTTGGGGTTTCTCATATTTCAATGGGGTCTACCTTACGCATAGAGTTCGAACTCAAAAGCGATTTATCACTTGAAACGGTTCCCTCGTTGGTTGTAACTGAAAATGTTCGATGAGTACTGGAATCAAATTGCAATACGTTTCTTTGTTTTTCTCAAATTCGAGAAAATTTTATAAAATATTTATTTTGTCTTTGAAAGCCTTCCTTAGGTTTTTTTTTATTAAGCCATAACATATGAGAAGTATTTGATATCAATGCTACTACTATAAATAAACATGACTTAAATGTAATGTCATGCATGTGCCATGAAGCACTCAAGTTATTCTAGAATGATTTTGTTCTCAAATGTAAATCATAAAAAAAACCTGTCGATAACGATTTAGTTTCTCTTAATAATCAAATAAAAAACGTTCTTTTGTAGAAAAACCTGGTCTTATTGAACTAAACCAATCTTGTCAAGCATATGATCGTCGTTATGTTCAATGTATATTTCGTGCACCAATTATTGGACGTGCATTTCGAAATGGTTTTCCACAACTTTATGAATTTGCAGAATTTACTTCTCAGTATATTTAAATTTATATTCAAAAATTAGCATCTTAATTTTATTTTTAATTAGAAAAGAATATCGTCATCCACCAGAATTGATTAAAATTAGTAATGATAACAAACTTTTCTTCAATTTTCTACCTCATGAAAAAAATCGAATTCCAAAGAAAATTTCTATGAATGTTAGTATGACAGTAATGTATTTTGGATCAGCTTCTTACAGTTTTGATATTAAACCTGGTAAGAACTATAATATTTTTTTTAATAACGATATTTTTTTCTATTTCATTTCTAGTACATACAACTAACGTCGATTTTCGAATAGCAAATATCTCGAGTAATCACTTAACTATAGTGATTAATCATAATAACACAGGAACAATAAGTGAACGCTTATGTGCCGGATATGTTGATCAAGTAGATCATCAGAAAACATCAATGGTAGTTCAAGTTAGAACTTTATTGGTTTTAAAATAGCAAAGAAATTTTTTCTCTAGGATATTAAGGAAACATTAGCTCAAAAGATTTTAATTAATGGTCTTCATTCATCAACACAATATAATATTTGTCTTTATTGTTTTTATGAACGAACTGATCAATCATTTGAAAAAGAAATATGTCATACAATTAAAACTAAACGTATACTTATTGTAGATATTTAGCAAATTGAAATTTATTTTAATATTTAGAAACAAATACAAGTATTTTCTGGCTTGTTGGATTGAATAGTACTGGTGGATTTATCGTATTGATTTTGATCATGTAAGTATTAAAAAAGCAAAATAAAAAAAAAAAATTTCAATTTCTCACGAATGATTATTTTATTTTAGATACTTAATTCGTAAGAATTCATTACATAATGAAAATATTCCATCGACTTGTAATGTATGTGTAAGTTTTTGAAAATTACAAAGAAGAAAGAAATGAAACTTTTTTTTTTCTCTGTTCATGAGTAATCATGCTATAGGTAAATTCACTCTAGTACTAATTTTAATATTTTGTTTCTTCTAGGGAAAACGATCAAGTTCCAAAACAGTAGATTCAATTGTTCCATTAGAGGTCAGCAATGTCTTATGAATCAATTTATTTATAGAAAATGAATAGGAATTTAGTTTTAAAATACTGTATGATTAAAAGAACAGTATAATTTTTATTATATGAAAAATTTATCGTAAGGTATACAACATACGTCGCTATAAATTTATGCTTTTGAAAATTTTGAAAAATATCAGATTTCATGATAAGACTTTTATTTTTAATGACAATTAGTATATTTGACATTCTGTTTAGGAGATACGACCTTTATCCAATGATCATTTGGATAGTAACCGTTGCCCGTCCGAGGTAAATCTTATAACGAATAGTTTTACTTTATTTAAAAAGTTTTGATTTTTTTATTTCTAGATAGAGGAAGACGATCATTCAACAACATCTTCTGATTCTTTGTCGATACAATCTAATACTGATATAAATGATCCTACAAATGAAGCAAAATATCAATCTATGGTAAATGAAATCAATATTAAAATAATAAGATTATTTTATTTTAATTTCGATATAGAAAAATTTCATGGAACAAATACCAAATGAAATTACTCCGCCGCCCATGAAATTATAAGTTCCCATTTCTATGGAATTCAAATGAAATGACTATAAGAAAAAATTTCATGGAAATTTAAATCAATTTTTTGAAAAATAAGCAGAGGAAATTCATTCAAATATGGAAATCTATGCATAAATGATAGCTATATCTTTTGGAGTTGGGTTGGGTTGGATCGGAAAATTCGTCTTGTTATTGTTTATAATTTCGCTGCAGATCAGCGAAAGGCATTTTCAGCAAAAGTTTCCCACGAATAGGAAATAGAGAAAAAATAAATAAGCGATAGAATAACATAGCGAAATCTTTATTTTTAACCAAATAGAAAATGATTTTGATCTAGATTTAACAAAATAGAGAAGTATATAGAGTGGAGTGAGTAAAGTCCGTCGAGTTGTTCTCGAACCAAGATCCAGTCAGGTTTGATCTGGAAATATTTTGTTAACCGAGTCGAGTTCGAGTCCGAATAAGTTTGAACCCAGTGAGTCCTTGTTATCTGAGAAACTAACCTCTTCCTGCACTAGATTACTGTCTATATTAGGAGATGGACCATAAGAGAAGGTCTCCTTGAAGCAACAATAAGGCGAATCTAATAGAAGGCATCTTTAAGTGAATATCTTTTTTGAAAAGATGGAATTGTAGTGTATTTATGTCAAAATATGCTTATTTTTTAGGATTTAGAGGTGAAAATCTTACCAGATCAATGTTTATATTATTGCTGCGCTTTTATAATTCTAAAAATCTCTTCTCAAATCTTCAAAATTGTTTTGATCTTCTGAAAAGTCTTTTTAATTAAAAATTTTGAAAACACATAAGACACAATAGAAAGTCATCCAGAAAACTTTTTATACTTAGACATGATGAAATACTCAGGATATTCTATTGTGTGAACTAGGTTTCGAAAATTTCATTGAGAATATCAAAGTTCGGTTCGGGAAGTATATGTGCTTTTTTTATTTGAAACTGAATTCTGGAAAACAAAAAAAATTTCAATTTTTTCCAATGAAGGAGATTCAGGAGTTCTAACCTTTATTGAGCGACGCCAATAAGAGTCTCGTATCCTCAGAAAACATATTTGACTTTTCACTCATTATGAGCAAACCGAACTTTACTTATCTGATAAAGTTTTCGAGTGATTCATTACTACATAACAGCATTCAGACCATGATATCTTCATTGAAGCGGTGTGGTTTTGGGTTTTCTCTCAAGAATTCATAATAATCCTTTCGATAGTGTATTCACTCACTAGATATACTTATCTGAAGACTCGTATATTTATTGAAAGAAAAATCATAACAACAAACAATGTAAGTATATATGCGCAGGTAATTGTTATCTTGAGAAAACTTACCATTGTTTGATTTTAATTTATTGTTTTCTTTCGTGTAAACTGCAGACATCTCTTCTGATCATACGATTCAAAGAGCTCTCTGCTATATCAGGCATACCTAAGTAGATAGTGACAATACAGAACTGCATCATCATTACACTAGGAAAGCGCTGATAAGTTTCTCTAAAATGAATTTGATGCTTGTCTGTGACATGTAATATTCTCTTATCTCTTAATTTTTATGTTATACATATATTAGATGCACGCATAATACTACAGAATATCAAAAGCATATAAATTCTAGCACTAATTCAATATAACTATCTAAAAAATAAAACCTATGTGGGTGACTGAAGAAAATACATTCGTACACACTGACCTGCATCTACTTACATCCACAATATTTTTTGGAATGAAAAGCGGTAGTGTTACTAGAAATGATGCTGTTACAAAGACTGATTTAACTATGATATGTGGTATTATAACCTTTATGTAAAACTTTTTCGAGTTTGGAACTTCCTTCAACACTACTTAATATTCAAAGAATATGATTCTACGTAAGTAAAAAATATCAATATCTGTTTGTAAAATGGGTTGTTTTTAGTGAAAATTATGCTCATGTTGTTAGCTGGATGAAACGTTTAAGTGATATGATCATCATGTGTAGTCATTTTCAGAACCTATCTGAAATCTTGAAATCCCAATAAAGTCGAGTGGAAGAATCGTTCAATACCAAGCCGTGTATAGAGATATGGGCAGAAAGACCACAGTGGTTAAAGCAAAGAAACAGGGCGAACGTAAATCTACTGTGAAACTGTGCAAAACCAAAGCATCAAGTGCGTGAGAGGAAAAAGAACACCATTGAGGCAAAAAGGTTGTTCGACGATTTCAAGAATCGCCTTTTAAGTTCGCAACAAGTGAGCACTGAAAATTCAGCCGAATGAGAAGAGTTTAATCAATTATATGAATGGCATTGTTTACCATTTCTGCAGCGATTTAAACCATGTCTACGCCGATTTATATCCGAATTAATTTCCACAACTCTTGCAAATCAAGAATTGACTCGCCAGCCCATACTGATATTCACTGTAACCAGAATCGAGGATCAAGTATACGCGACAAAGAATGATGGTCGAGTTTTTCCTCAGCGTTGATATAAAAGCTGTGAACTTTGCTTTGCTTCAGCACATACATGCTGTCGATGCTCACACGTATCCGACTTGGTCCGATTTTTTATCTTTCTTCGTAGGATCAAGACCTCTGTTCTTACAAAATAAAAAATGGCGAATAAGTTGCTTAGACGAATTGCTCGAATATTCCAAGCTGAAAACGTTATAGACACATTTCACAGCTACAATCTACCAAACGATTCTCTGTCCGTATTTACATGAAATGAATGTAAATGCGAGGTGTATGTGGCTGTAGACAGTAACGAAGTAGTATTTCATCTGGATGCTTCAAACAAAGAAAAGTATATCGTTTACGAGCGTTTCGCTGGTGAAGTTAAACATATGTGTTTCGCGCGGCTGTTTATTGGCAAAGGTGACGGATAGTTTAATTTAAAATGTGTGTCTAGAAAAGATAGGAATTATGATCAAGCGTGTGCAGATCTTCGAACGTTTTCTAGTTTGTAAAGTGTATTGTATTTCTCTATTGAGATTGAAGATTTTTTTCAAAAAAAGAACTATTTAATTGGTTGGTGATATCGTGAGAAGTTGTCATGTACGGCTACTATAAATGTGCTTTTCTACTTAACGTTTTGAAAATGCGTACCAAACATGATTCAGAATATATTTATAAAATACATTTCTGCATTTCCATTGCAGATTTTGACAACACCTTTGTGCCATACAAATATTGAAGAAGTAAATATGTAGACGATTATTCGTCGAAAGAAGCACAAGAATAGAGAAAACAGAAAATATTCAACAGAAAAAAAAGAAGTAATGACGGTAGCTTTTTAAAGATATAATATATATATAATTATACTCCTACTTTTCTGTAAAGGTCTGAAGGAGAAGGGTGATAGTCTTTCAATAAAAAAAAAAACAACGACTCGTAAAACAGGATGACAATTCTATTTCTGTCATCACTTATCGTTCTCTTTGAGATTTCTTTGCAATTATAAATAAATAGAAAATCAAATGGAAAGCGAATTTTAATGCTCTTGAAGTGTTACTGCATCAAATTAATAAAAAATTAATAAAATTATAACAGCACATAATTAAGAAGTCGAATGACTTTTACTCTATATATTATGTGTAGGTAATGCTCGTCACTACAATTCGCTAGACTATCGACTGGATTCATTCTATTCATTTTAAAACGTCATTATTGAATGTATACGTCATTAGCGTATTCCTCAATCTTGAGAAATCGTGATTCTTTAGGAGCAGCAGTAGTATAATAATTGAAACTTGAATTCAATAATCGAAGTCATTTTCAGGTATTCAAGTATTGAACAATTGCGAGTATTTTGTCCTCTCTCAGAAACTTTCCATAAATAATGGATACATAAAATTAAACTTCAGCGTTGACGAGTTTTCTACACATCAAGGCCCAAAATGAATTTTTAGCCTGTACAAAATTTTTTCCGCTATACTTCAAAGCAGAGGACTGGGATCTATTTTATTTGAAACGAAACTGTTTACTTCTTCGGATGAAGGGAAGCGATTATATTATTGTTGTTCTCTTTAATTTTGGGATGCATTTAAGCCTCCAATACTGAAATTTCATCACAGATTTTTGCAAAAAGATAAGTTTTTTTTTATTGGACTAGAATCTAATTAAAAAATCCCTTCTCTTCGTCCGAAAGACAATCGACTGCCCTAATAAATAAAAAAACGCAGTTTTATAGAACGAAGTATATTTTAAAAAAATTGCGAGAATAAAGTAACATCTTGCTATCAAGAGCAATCGTCACTTGTATTCTGTGTTGATTACTGGGTCTCATCATCTTCTTTCGCCCAATTATACAATATGCACCAATACGAGACGTATGCACTTTTTTGGATGTGTAGGATGCTTTGACTTTATGTTTGAATTCTACCACATTTCACTCTACTCTGTATTTCATGAATGCAACTATTAAACTTCGTGCGACTCTGTTGCACTGGATGAAACCATTCTGTTTTTCTGTAAATATGAGATACTCAAAGAACACTAATAGTATAGTCAATGACTGTAATAACCATTTGAATTGTTTTCCAAGTATCGTTGATGGGTTTAGGTATGGAGATTCTTTGGACAATCGTACATCTACACTCTCAAAGCAAACTTGTGTCCGAACTGATTGTGAAATAATTTTCCCACATTCCAGAAACAACCAGTACCGAAGGTAACCACTTTCAAACTAGTTTTACTCACTTCAGACATATTTTCGTTCTAACGATCACATTATTTAGTAAAACCTCGTTAGTGAAGCTTGTTGTGCGTTCATATGCTTAATAAGCTGTAAAATCAGACCTGAAATAAATTTCAATAAAGATCAATAGCTGTCGGATATTTTTTCCTCGAAAAAATTGCATTGACGCGATAGTGACGAAACAGAATTTCCTGAACTAAGACATTATCAAGATGGGAGATTTTCAACGTTCAATATTCCTTTGCTGCTTGAAGTACGGCGTACTTGTTGGTGTTAAAGAAATATTCAAGTTTCTAAGAGTGAAAAGAATATCTCTTATTTTGTCAG